GGTGGGCAATGGGATGAACAAGCCCGGGGGGTGTGGTTCCAGACTCCGAAGGAAAGGATAGGGACTGGACAATGTGGAAACGTACGATATTCACTCGCGCGGCTAGCGGCTTCTCCTTCTCCATTGCTGCGATGGTGGGGGAGGCTATGGTTGCCCCGAGGAGGGTGAGGAGGGTGAGGGGGAGGAGGGTTGGGATGTACATTTTCTCGGGCTGGTTGGGTGGATCCTGTTGAATGGGAGTGATGGGTTTGGGTTGAGGTTTGGGGGTGGAGTGATGGGTAGGGTAGGGTGATGGGGGTTTTATAGCTGCTGCTGCTGCTGTTGCTGCTGCTGCTTGGGGATACTACTGGTAGATGGTTGGGGAGGGGAGGGGATTTGCTTTTTTCTTGTGTACTTCTTCCTGGACATGGACATGGTCATGGACATGAGGTGGTTTCAGACCCGGGGTTGTGTTTTCATATTTATATCATGTAGGTTTAGTTTTCTTGTTTGATTTCTGCTGGGGATAGAGTAGGGTAGGCTGGTGATCTCGTCTCTGGGGTGGGATGCTGATTGTGGGATCTGGATCGACGGTTGGTCTGGGGCTTACTGCGTGACCTACAGCGCTCATGCTGGATTTTGCTTTTTCCGAGTCATGGACTATTGTCTATAGACTGGGTGGGACGGGTACCTGCTGGATGGGACCTGCTGGGCGGGCTGGTTTGGAATTTGCAGAGATTAAGGGGGTATCAATGGGTCATAATGAAGTTGGGTAGGGAGACTTAGATGGGATCAGAATTGCGAGTTGTACGGAGTAATCAAGTTTGAAATTGGGTGGGATCATGATCTTCCTAGTTGTTTGTGGTGGTTCTTGTGGCTGTCAACGCAGTGCAGTAAAGTGCAGTGCAGTGCAGTGCACGATCTGAGACCGATCTTGAGATTCAGACTGGGTGGTTTAGGGCTGGGGTTGGGGATGTGATGGTGTACTTACCATTAGACGCTCTAACAAACTTATTCCTCACCTAATCTCCGTCGATATTCGACATACGTTCTATGGACAAAGATTCTCTCAAGACACTTACTTCCTCACATGGGGTCAAACCGAAGTGCTGGAATGGGGTCCAGATTGTTAGTATGCGCTGCATGGCTTGATGAGCTTATCGCGGGCGATACCACTGGTCTATGCATTGAGGCTTTGAGCACAGGGGGGTCACTCTACTATACATACGATCTCCACGGTTCATAGTGGGATCTAACTGTCGATATATGATTAGATCCACAGCATGTTGGAGTTATTTACCTGCTTGCCCCGCATAATCAAGAGTGATACTCTTATATCCTAATGTGGATTGGTCCAGCTGTCGGGATTTCAGGTTTTATTCAGGCATGTTAAACTGCAGCGAATTACTATAGCACATGCTATTCTGCAATTCGACATATCTGACCTCTATCTAGTGTCTACTGCTATTTAGCTTATCTCGCCCTAGAACGGTCGACTGAGCATGAGTGACAGTTAGAACTTAGAACCAACCAGACTTCCCCATATCCCCCACACCGGAACGCCCGGCAAGTCAGAAAGAAAGAACCCAGTCGCGAATTTCAACCCCGACCAACACCAGCCAAAGAAAGCCATCGCCCACAGGCTTTGTTTCCACTTGGTTCAATGATAGTAACATGACAACATGCTGACCCACAGGGCAAACAACCCGGGGTACTGCACAACCTCTATGGAACACAAGAAAATACGGAGGGGATTGACGTGTAGCAGCCAAGCCAATTCTGCCCCCCGGATTCGCCGGATAAGACCAGCAGAAATCAGGATTGCGATCCCAACCCTATCTACACTCTCCCCACGAGTCACATCCTACCGGACCTACCACAGCAAGCACTGCACGGACATATCTGACTTATCTGGTCCATTCAACGGTCTTCATGAAGGGCTGCTGTCGGGATATCCCTCCATGTGGGTCTGGGTCCTCGAACCAAGGTCTAGGTTTATCGTGGCCTGCTTATCAAGCACGGCGATAACGTCTCCTCTATATAGACCCAACGGTCTTCGTCCTCGCGCCCGTGCTTTGGAGTCTGAGCAGTTGAATCATTATCCCATTTTGATTTTAGCTCAGTTTTTGACTCATACTTCCGACATTGGCGACTGATTGCGAGACATCTCGGTCGGGACCATCATGGCATACTCCAACCTCCAAAAGTCGCCTCCGCTCGACTTGTCGCATCATCTCTCGGCCGTGACCAAGAGACGCGAAAACAGTCTGGTGAAGAGCCTGTACAAGTACATGATTCGGCCCAATGTCGATAATATGGCGGGTGGTGAGTGAGCATTGTTCTCGATCCTCTTGCGTGATCCCAGCATCACCACGTCTTCCCCCTCACTTACCGCGCACGACATCAGGCTTGCCAAATGCGTCATACTTCCCCTACGAAACCCTCGAGGCCACGGTCGCCCACCCCCAGCGATTCGCGGTGACCACAACCACAGAAAACGGAGACGCGCGGGCCACGGACCGCATGGTCGTCCCCAAAGAAACCCCCCAGGCCAGCACGCTCCACAAGATCGATGTGGCCACGGCCCTGCAGTATGGCACCGCCGAGGGTCTGCCGGCGCTGGCCACGTTCGTGCGGGAGTTCTCCCGCGAGCACCTCCACCCCAATGTCCCCTACGCGGGCGGGCCGGCGACCCTGCTCACGACGGGGGCGACCGATGGCCTGTCCAAGGCCGTGGAGGCGTTCACCACCGCGTGGGACCCGCGGCGCGACTGGATCAACCAGCGGGAGGGCGTGCTCTGCGAGGAGTTCGTCTTCATGAACGCCATCCAGACCTTCCAGCCCCGGGGCGTCAACGTCGCCACCGTCGCCATCGACGCGGAGGGGATGCTCGCGCACGGCAAGGGCGGGTTGGCGGATGTGCTGGAGAACTGGGATTTCAAGAAAGGTCGACGCCCGCATCTGATGTACACCATCACGTAAGTCCTCGACCCCCGCCCATGCATTCTCGGTTCTCTCCTCATCAGCATCAAACACCACGAGCTGACTCGCTGCCCACCTGCCTGCCTGCAGAATCGGCCAAAATCCCACGGGCGGGACTCTGTCCGTGGCCCGCCGGAAGGAGATCTATGCGCTGTGTCAGCGGTACGACATCCTGATCATCGAAGACGACCCGTACTGGAACCTCCAGTACCCCTCCGCGGCGGCCACGGAGGCCCAGCACCGCGGCTCGCCCGCGGCGGTCCACCCAACCCCGCCCAACTACAACGCCCACGGCCGGTCCTCGGGTTACGCGTTCCTGGACTCGCTGGTCCCCTCGTATCTGTCGGTGGACACGGACGGCCGCGTCGTGCGGCTGGACACCTTCTCCAAGACGATCGCCCCGGGGTGTCGGCTGGGCTGGATCACCGCGCAGCCGGCCTTCATCGAGCGGCTGACCCGCATCACCGAGACGAGTACCCAGCAGCCGTCCGGGTTCGTGCAGGCCATGGTGGCGGAGTTGATCCTGGGTCAGCAGCTTGATACTGACGGTAAGGGCGGGTCCTCAAATCGCAAGGGCAAGGGCAAGGGCAGGGGCGAGCCGCGCGCCTGGCAGATGGATGGCTGGGTGCGGTGGCTGGAAGGGCTGCGCGCGAGCTACGAGCGGCGCATGCGCGACATGTGCACAGTCCTGGAGGAGGGGAAGTACCTGGTCGATACGGACGGCGCAGAAGCAGCCGCGGAAGCAGGTGCCTGGGAGGTGCTGGATAAGGTGCAGATGTATGACTTTCGGTGGCCCACCGGCGGCATGTTCGTGTGGCTGAAGGTCAGCATCGAGACGCATCCCTTGCTGCAGAGGTACGGGGCTGAGCGCTTGAGCAAGGCGCTCTGGCTGCAGCTCATGGAGAAACCGTACCTGTGTCTGATGAGTCCCGGGGCGTTGTTCGCGCCCACGCCGGCGGCGGTCCTCCGCTCGCAGCGGTACTTCCGGCTGTGCTTCGCGGCGATGCCCGCGGACGAGGTCGCCGGCATTACTCGGCGGTTGGTGGACGGGTTCCGGGCGTTCTGGAAGAGGAAGGACCTGGATGGATTGGAGGATGAGGAGGTGATGCTGCAGAGGTTGCAGTTGGAGGGACCGGCGAATATGATGGGGTTGGGGTGTTGAGTGGTTGATGCGTTGTTTGTTGATACTACGTAGTTAACCCGCGATGACGAGACAAAGTACTCCGTAATTATGGTTCATAGAAAAGCTACCACGTCAAAGACATCCCCCTCCATCGCGTGAAACAAGCTTAGATTCGAACTAGCAAAAAGAGACCACTAAACAACAACAAAACAAAAGTGAAAAAGAAAGCGACCCCACTGGGACTCGAACCCAGAACCTTCAGTACCGAAAACTGACGCCCTACCATTGAGCTATAAGGCCTGATTGGGAAAGAAAGTCCCATTCACGTCTCATGTCCCACAAGAAGCAAAGCCCAACAGGAACGCTTCCCCTCATCAAATCTCTCTCCCCCTCACCACCTCCGAAATCAAATCCGCAGTCCGTCGCAAGACTGACCACACCCACCTTACGCATCCACTTCCTAACCCCTACCTATCCCCTCCACACCCCACCGAAGATGCCACTCACGAACACCGACCTCGCCGAAGAAATCGAAGCCATCAACGCGATCTACGACCCAGACACCATCACAATCTCCAGCACGGCCACCGCACCCTCCACCCTCGACCTGGGCAGCACCAGCAGCAGCAGCGAACCCACCCAAACAACCCTCAAACTCCAAATCCCGAACCACCCACACCTCTCCTTCCTCCTCGGCTTCCCCGCAACCTACCCAGACACCCCCCCGCTCATCCAAGGCACGGCATCGACCGCCGCCCGCGGCGAAGGCAAACTCGCCGTCGACATCCTCGCCTCCATCCTCTCCCGAGTGTACACCGCCGGCTCGGTATGTCTATTCGATCTGATCTCCGAGGCGGAGACGGCGTTCACGGAGATCGGCGTCGGCGGGGAGAGTACCACCACCAGCACCAGCATCACCAGCACCGATAAACCAAGCACCGGCACCGGCACCAGCAACAGCAACGAAACCGGGACGAGCGCAGCGCAAGCGCACGAGAAGCCTCCCGCCACGGAATCGACCACCACGCCCGCGACGCCGCAACTGCACGAGACGTTCGGCCTCCCCGCCCCGCCGGAATGGATGCTCTCGGAGGTGATCACGGAAAAGAAATCCGTGTTCGTGGGGCGGGCGGCCCGCGTGACGAGTCTGGGCCAGGCGCGAGCGGTGCTGGATTATCTGCTCGCGAGCGAGAAGAAGGTCGCGACCGCGACGCATAATATTAGTGCGTGGAGGATCAGGGAGAGGAAGAACCCCGGTGGGGCTGGTGGGAGGGGAGATGCTACGGTAGCAGGGGATGTGTCGATTGTGCAGGACTGTGATGATGATGGGGAGACGGCGGCTGGGGGCCGGTTGTTGCATCTCATGCAGTTGATGGATGTTTGGGATGTGGTCGTGGTCGTGACGAGGTGGTATGGGGGGGTGTTGTTGGGGCCGGATCGGTTTAGGATCATCAATGCGGCGGGGCGGGATGCGTTGGTTAAGGGGGGTTTTGTGCGGGAGTCGTCGGCTGGGAATGGGGAGGGGGGCAAGAAGAAGAAGGGGAAGAAATGAGTGACTTTGACTGTGGGCTGGGGGCTGATGTTGGGTCGTGGGGAATGCGTTTGCTGCGCTGATTACCGGTCTTGCATTATCCAGTCTGCTTCCTGGCGAGGCTTGGACTGGTGCAGCGTTATCTGCTGCTGCTGCTGCTGCTGCTGCTTGACATGGACATGATAGCATCTATGCGTCCTGGCTGGTGGGTTAGCGACAGTCAGCACAATCTAACCCCAGGCCATCGGGGCACCTTCTTTGATTCAGGGACTTCGGTCGCTGGAAACACCGCTCTCACTGCGCCACATCCTGAATCTTACCACATACGGATGTTGTGACGGAGGAACTTGCAACCTTCCGAGCGAGGGTTGTCAATGCACCCCGGAGGCTGTGGCTGCTGGTCCAGCTGGTAACTCATGGCGAAAGCGATGGGCTACATGTATGAGATAAATTGTGACATGTACACTAAATACAGGTAGATAGAACTGTAATACACCTCCCGAGAACATATAGTTCCGTGATGTGACCCCCGACAATAAGCCATAGTGGCTGGCACCTGTCACATGCAGCACATTCTGCCTTCAATCTCCTGATCCATTCCAGGTACAGCCAATTTCCCTCCACTCAAGGAAAACAGCCACAAACTCACTTTAAGATTCAACGTTCCCGCAGACAGGCTCTAAATGTCTATACCATAGGGCAGGTCAGGAGATGAAGGTGATCGGCTCCCTTCACCCAAGTAACGACTGCGAATCTGCCGCGGTGGCTCGTTTCAAGTAGGTTTTGATCATGTTCCCCACGAAGACAGTTTCAGGCTACTTGACAACCGAAGGTAGCCGTGATCTGTGGTTTCTTGGCATGGAGTAGCGATCTGGCTCAATTATTGAGGTTGCATTGGGAATTGGGTTGGGTGTGGCTGTGGCCAGGGAGATGAGCTCTTGAAGCTGGGTAGCGAGATTTTGATGCTTGGCTCGGTGGTTGCAGGTCTTGCTCAATCCAGTGGAGCGATCGTGGTCTAAGTCATTGACTGGTGTTCATGGCGGATGTGCACTCATGTGTAGTCCACCTCATCCAAGTCAAGCAACTAGGCGTATGTACTGTGATGCATTATGCATATGGTGTACGAGGCACAGTGTACCGTGCATTAACCGGCAAGTATCGGTTCTTTGCAAATAACGTCGACACAAAAGGCATCGAAGTTCTAATGCGGGGATTTCAACCGATGTATAGCGGAGGTCTCCGACAGGCAGCAAAGAACCAAAAAGGCAGACTCCACAAATCCCAGAGCCAGAGTTTTGCGCCGACAGGGTCCGCGGGGATCGGCTTGGAACCATGGAGCGGCGGTGGTTGGGAAAGGTTGCGCAGGTACGGACTGCACCTGTACAGTACTTTGATGGTTCGATTCTTACCTCGGTCGGTCCCCTTGATCCCCAACCACAGATTTATTTTTATACACACCCTCAAGGTAGGAGTGAGGGAAGACGCAGGTACAGTACTTTGGGCATGATTCAAGCCGCACTCCGTCCAACCGATCAATACAGTTTACCAGTAAGACATCTGGTTTGACTTTGTTCGCCACCAAGCGCCAAGTCGGACCAGTCAGGGAATGGATAGGCAGGATTGTCCAAAACTCAGCTGCAGTCTGCAGATGCGTTCCCAAGGCCTGAGTGGAAGACGATAGATTTTTTTTCTCCTGGTCGTATCGGCTCGGATGTCTGTCTTTGGGCTTGCGTGGATTGGTTGGGTGAGTCGGTCGTTTTGTCCTGATTCTGTGACTGGTACACATAGATTAAAGCAGCAGTGCAATATTGTTGGCAACCTGATGATAATGGACCCTATGATTAGCGATCCAGGTGGGGAATGACTGAGAGGGTGACCAAACTTGTGAGAGGCAAATGTGCTATCCCAGTTTATGGATTCACATGCGATGTGGTATCAGACGGAAGTGCGTTTGTAGATCTGATCCCGAACAGGGAGAAGTCCGAACTGTGCGCGCGCATACACACACATTGTTGCAACTCAGAACCGGATAGTTGACCATCAGTGGCTACATGACCCACGTCGAGCGGAGATTTTGAGATGGAAGTAAGGGTCCGAGACGCAGGGTTTGTGTTCAGTTGACCCGGTCGGGGGAGATGTGACTTGTAAGTTGCGAGGCGATGAGGAGTTGAGATGAGGAGAAAATGTCAGTGTGTGGTGGTGATTGGGTGGACAGAGTGGACTTTGCGACAGATCGGGTAGTTCTATTCCATTGAGGAGGGTTCCGAGTTCATCAGGGTTCATGCCAATCAAAGGAGCATTCAATAGGGCCTTGAAGAAAGCCATGTTCCACTCCAGGCTGGGAATTACTTGTACCTGAAATCGAGAGCGACAAAACTTACAAACTGCAGTGATGATTGGCAGTGGGCCGGCGCCAATCGATCCTTCCACGGCCAATGATCCGAAGCGCCGGGCTGATGGTGCGACAAGATCCGCCCTGAGCAGTCACTGTTTCACCTACACTACCTTACTAAGGTATACTTTTCCACTCTTCTCTTCTCCACACTTTCTACTGTACATTGAACTGTACCCATTCAACTGCACCTACACAGTAAACACCAATGCATGTCTTTGAATTGCATCCCTGATTGTTACCTGTCGCCTGATTCATGGCGCTTGCAATTCTGAACCATGACAATGCTATATAATCCCCCCTGTAACACCAGGGCTGGGCATTCTCTTTTCTTTCCTTCTCTCATCCCGCGCTGGAGCGTTCAGTCCTTTCACCCTTTACACTTGTTCGACAGTTTCGCAGGCTAGTCCTGTCTTTCTTTTCCTTCCCTCTCTCTTTTACTTGCATCTTTGCGGTGAACCTGCCTGCGGCAGTCTCCGACATTCCTTCCTTCGAATCAATAAAGAACAACCATTGTTTGGTGACATCTTCCGCCACAAAACCATTCTTTGACCTGTGGCTTCTTTGTTGTCCGGTCTGCATAAAGGTAATTTTCTCTATGCACATCGATGTGTTATGCTCCTGTGTTATGCACGGTCTTCTATACGGAGATCTCCTGTGGATTGCATCGGTTCATTGATCCTCAACACTCATATGTACGAGATATAAAAAGCACCTTGCTAACCCAGCTACATCAGTTCTTCCATTCTTCAACCCTTCAAACATTTGTTCCCATTCGTCTGGCACGATTTGAACACCATTTTACCATCACTTATCCAACTGTCGAACAGTCTAACGCTTTACGAACCAACCACCATGTTCTCCAAGTCGACTTTCGTGGCATTTACCCTGCTCGGCCTGTCCGCCGTTGAAGGACACATGATCATGTCCAAGCCTGTTCCTTACGGCAAAGATACTCTCAACAACTCGCCCCTGGCGGCTGACGGCAGCGACTTCCCTTGCAAGCTCCGTTCCAACACCTATCAAGTCACCGAATGGAACAAGGCAGCTGTTGGCGAGAGCATGCCCCTGACCTTCCAGGGCAGTGCCGTCCACGGTGGAGGATCCTGTCAGATTAGTCTGACCACGGATCTAGAGCCTACCAAAGACTCATCGTGGATGGTCATCAAGTCCTTTGAGGGCGGCTGTCCTGCCAATGTTGACGGAAACCTCCCCGCAAATCCCAATGGCGTGGATCCATATTCCTTCAACTACACTATTCCTGAGGGAATCACTCCTGGCAAATACACTCTGGCCTGGACCTGGTTCAACCGCATCGGCAACCGCGAGATGTACATGAACTGCGCCCCTCTTGAGGTCACTGGCGGCTCCAGCTCCAAGCGTTCCCGCGTGATGCCGAAATTGGAGGAGCGCTCATCCAGCTTCCCTCCCATGTTCGTCGCCAACGTCAACGGCTGCACTACCAAGGAGGGTGTCGATATCCGCTTCCCCCAGCCTGGTGCCGATGTGCAGTACCTTGGTGAGGCCAGCAACTTGGCACCCGAGGGCAGCGCTGCCTGCACTGGTACTGCTACCTTTGGCGGTGCCGGTGACACGAGCTCTGGGACCAGCTCTGGTACGAGCTCCAGCTCTGGCTCCGGCTCGGGTGCTGCATCGAGCGCAGCTGCTGCCGTCTCTAGTGCGGTCGTCGCCAACGCCAATGCAAACACCGGATCTTACAGTGCCTCAACTACCACGGCCGCTGCAAACACCGCTTACGCGGCGCCTCCAGCAGCAAGTTCTGCTTCGTCTGGATCTGCTTCCGGCTCTTCGGCGGGATCTCCGTCTGGAACTTCTTCCGGAGCTTCCTCCGGAGCTTCCCCTCAAGCTTCCGCTGGATCGGGTTCTTCTGGACCTGACAGCACTAGCACATCGACCTCTGGTGCCCTGTCCGGCTCTTGCAGCACGGAGGGCCAGTGGAACTGCATTAATGGCTCTTCCTTCCAGCGTTGCGCCAACGGCAAGTGGACCGCTTCCCAGGCTATGGCGAGCGGCACCCAGTGCACGCCAGGCCAGAGCGCCGACCTCTCCATCGCTACTGCCAAGTCTAAGCGCGATGTGACTGAGATGCGCGCCAGACGCCGTGCCCACGGAGGTCACCAGCACGTTTAAACGCTCCAGCCACCACCTTATTTCATAACGAATTTCATGATTTCATTTCAACATTCATTTTCACCCACTATGCATGCGCATGTGAAAAATCCTTCGGGGGTTCGCTCTTTTTGTACATTCAAGACCTGGACAAGATACAGCATATCGAGATAGGAGAATATACTGCTGGTCAGTATCAGTGACTTTGTTCCTTGTAATCTTTGTATTGGATAATTCCTCTTGGGAGTGAGTACACAGCTTCGTAGGATTGCAGACATTCCTTTATCATGCTTATCCCACGAGAAGTTGGTCATAGCTGAATGGACAGTGTTAGCATAGACAACATCCAAGCCTGTCTGCATTGTCCAACTGCCGAGGACTACTCAACCGGCGGCTCCATTGTGTATGTATCCTTGCCCTGCTCAGGGTACATCATGCATGAACCGCGTCTTACGCTCAGTCAGAAATGTTGGATTTGCTGATAACATCTCTGTTCACGTGAAGCAACGATAGCATCTTGACCATATATTTTGTCTAGTAGTATCGTACTGCGCAGGACAAAGAGGAGGAGTGCGAAACCATGATCGGAGTACATGCTCTGTCTAAGATCTCGTTGGTGGAGCCGCAACCTCAAATACTCCACACTTTGTTCCCGCCTCAGGCATCAGCCCGCTCTGGCGGCCAGCTGGCGGGCTCCCAAAACAGAAATCAGGGCTAGGGCATTGCCGCACCCACGACGGGCGGTTCGGGCTAAGCGAAAATTTGCGCAGGCTCATCTTTGAGATACTCGATCTTCAACCTCGAACGACGATAACGACCACCACACCCCCGTCGACAACAATGGCGTCTCGTCCTACCGTCACCATCGCCACGGCCGAGGGCAAGCCCAGCGGGGC